CTTCTGCTGTTGGCTTTGTCACCACTGCTTGCTCAATTAGCCTTATCACCTAATTTCACTCTTGAGCGAAGCAGCCGATTCATCTTTGGAAGCAGGGGGTCAAGTTTAAGGTAATATTATATTTTTATCTGCTGTGGAGGCAGGAATATTATGTAAATGTCAGTCTGCACACTTGCAGAGAGGGTCAAGGTCTAAGTTAGAGAAAGATTTGTGAGTAAACAGAAGCACAGTAAAGTCAAAGCCAATGGTTTGGTTCTGTTATTCAGGCAGGACAACCAGGCGTGTGAAGAGGTTGTTGAAGCTGGAGCAGCAAGGCTTATAGAAGGTAGAGCTGAATGTTTGTGGGCAGGTGTAAAGCAGGCTATCAGTGTGGTGAGATACTACAGAAGACTGTTTATTTATCCAGCTGTTATGATGATCTGCAAAGTCTGACATTTTCAGTCCGCACCCCTAATGATTTTCTGAATCCAAACCTTTTCCTAAAGCTTACAAAAAGCAGAACTGATAAAGCTGGATGAGAGCGAGTAAAATGTCTGATATTCTTTTCAATAGTAAATTGAGCTGCTATTATGAAGCATCACCGATCCTCCTTGTCGCATCTGCAAAAATCTGGTTTTCTTCAGGGTTTGCATGAATCAGGGAGGGAGATGTCATCACTGTGGTCCACCACTGTGCCACCACTTCATTCTGTGACTTCTTAATGGTGAGAAACACCACAGCTAAAGGATTGTTGAACCTTCTGTCGAGCGTCTAAACCTAAGCGGGACCAGTCCAGTAACAGATTTTATTTTTCCATAATCATTGATAAAGAAATGATTATAATTGCTTTTGTTTAAAATGTGACCCCTGTTTTTTGTGCTATGTGTTTGCTTATTTTTATTTTCCATTTTGGGAAAGTTGGTTTTAATGTTGAAGCCCTGTGTTGGGTCCAAACTTTTCAGTATAATGGGGTGGGAATTGTGTTGACAAAGACTCAAGCTCAAGCCCTTCCTCCTTTTTAATTATTGTGAATTTAAGTTGCCATTTTGCATAATTTAAGTCTTCACAAGCCCTGTCTACAGTGGTAAAAATAGTTATTTGTTTGTGGTTGCACCTGTGCAAAAATGGAACTTTTTCACTGCAGTTTTTAGTATATCATTGAATTATGAGAGTTGTGTTCAAAAAAGGGAATTTTGTTATTCCCTGTAAACTGAGAGATGCAAAAAACCAGCATCAATTTTTAATTTGAAAGTGTAGCATGTCATAGGGCTTGTTTTAGTAATCAGTCACTAAAACTGGAAAGCCATCCAAACACTATTTCTTATAAGAAAAATAACCTGTCAAGTAACTATACAACAAGAGCGGATGTGTCCAATCAAGGAAACACATCAACTTTATTTCAAAAATAGGTCTGTTGTGCAATGAGAAACTTCTTGTGTATTGGAGCACATCCATCTTTCAGTGGTTTAATATTCAGTAGTGAATGTATGGTAATAATGTTACATTTTTGATTCTCCCTCAGTAATATCCAAATCAAAATATTATTTTTGATTCAGAGCTTTGGGTGTATTTTAACTACAATATGTTTTAAAGTTGTTTCTTAAATCCTTGCAAATGATTGATGCAAATAATTTTATATTTGTTGGACCCACGGTGCCTTTTGGGGAAAAATCCTTTGTATAGTGTTTTTTATTTTATTTTATTTTCCTCATTCTGTATGTCTTCAAATGATAAACATAAAAATCATAAGAGAATGAATAATGTTTGCCTCATTAAATGCTTGAAATGCACGAAAGCTGATGCTAAATACTCATCCTCCCAGTAGCTTGTTAAGCCTACCAAAGACTGCTCTCAGGCCACTGTGGTGTAGACTACAACACTCAACAGAACTGTTAATGGTGTTTGATGGTACCAGAAGGATTTCCTTGAAATCTACACACGATTAGAGTTCAGTCCATAAAGTTGAAAAATGGCTTCTGTAGACCAGATAAGTCATGGCAATACAACTTTGGATTAAACCTAATTAGGGGGCACTAGTTTAAATCTCAAGACCAAAATATTTGTTTGTGGTTAAGTCATTTTTAGGAATAATAATTTGGAAAATGTTTCCCTGTAGTAGCCAAAGTCTGAAAGTTGGTGGAATTTATGTGCTGTGGGAAGGTTAGTCAGCACGTGTTGGCAATACAACCCTTCTTATCCAAAGCGATCAGCATCAAGAGTGTCTGAGTGCAGTAAGACTACATCTTGTGTTCAGCAGCTGCAGTGACCACAGATTGCTCTGCCATCTCAGCTGGCCGAGCTCAGCATGAGCTGTCTCAGAGTGCAGAGCTTGTCTTCACCAGGGTAGCTGTGTTGATGACTAAAAGAAAGTTTTGGTGCAATACAACAGCCTCCAGCTGCAGGATATTCCCACCTCGTTTATGTTCCTTCTGTTGAAAAATGCCTGTTTAATTCCTGTGAGTTTTATATTATTATTTGAAGACTAGTGCCAGGTCTGTTTTTTAGCTTGGTCAAAAGCAGTGTATGCTATTTGAAAAAGTATATATTTCCTAATCATTTGCTTTATAATGTGCATGTAAATGCATATCTTTAAACAAATTCTGTCAAATAAAATTCTGAATCAAGCTTTGTTGTCTATATATTTTGACATAAGAATGATTGTTTTGATTGTCATGCTGTGGTGCAGTCATTCACACTTCATGCTGCCCTGTGCAATTACTGTTTAACTGAGATTAGTGGGTGGGCTCAAGTAGTTGTGGTTCAAGGAAACTATAACTTTCCTAGTCACTGGAGAAAAATACATAAACTTATCTCTCGTTTTTTTCTAATTTTAGATGTTTTGTTGTTGGGAGAGTTTCCCTTTGGCTATATGTTTAGTCAAATCTTTCAAATTAAGTCCTGTGAAGTTGCAGGAAAAAAAAGCACATTGAAGCATTCACATTGCAGTTTATTATTTACATTTGCATTTAACCTATTTACATACAGTACATGCTTTTACATTCCAAGAAGCACAACAAACATTGTCTGGAACAACTAAGCCTCATATCAACTGTTTTCATTTAAATGGGATTTATATGCTTTTATTTTGACAACACAAGAAAAACAAAAACAAGAAAAGGAGATAAACCAAGGGTATAGGCTGGACAATGAGCACATTAATACTACAAAGTACAAGTGAAATAAAGGCTGTGGCACATTGTGCTATACAAAGATTTACATTTTTTTTGTGTCTTAGCTGACAGGATTTATTTAAAAAGTGTAAGGTGTTGAGAAATAAATCGGATCTAAAGATATTTGAGTGCTGACCCACACAGGTGTTTTTAATTCTCGTTAATTAGCCATCTGCTCAGGTTGAACCTGGGAGGTGCAATGCTAACGAGCTCTAATAAGTGAAAACATCTGTGTAAGTGAAACTTGACTGAACTTTAAAAATGCAGTCAAGATATATTTTAAGTTTAACTGGAGTTCCTGTTAATTGTATTAAAATCATGATGTTCTGGTTGTATGTTCAGCCATTTGATTATTGATCATTTTGACCTGTCTGTCCTATTTTGTGGGTTTTTTTTGCACAGACTGCTAAACTAAAAACCAGGTTGAGGGTGGGTGGAGGAAAAAAAGCTACTTGACCTTCAGGACCATATTCATCTCAACTGATATTCGGGCAATTGAAGAAGAAATGGGATGAAGTTAACTTTATTCAGACTAGCTGAGAAATTTAGGTAACTAAACGTTTGTTAATAGTCACTCTCTTAAGGGGTAGGCGCCCAACTCCGGGATCCCAAATCATTTTTGTTAAGGCAGAATCTGTGACTTCAGCCACTTGACAGAGCACACAGACACCAAGCTTTGTGAGTTTATTATTGTTTTACTTTTAAAAAAAAAAAAAATATGTCATCACCTTTGGATTTTGCCTTTTTGCCTTGCCTTGTTCCTTGTTGCAGCTGCGAGGGCGTGGAGATATGGACATAAGTTAAAACAGATGCAGCAGGAGACTTTCTGTACACCTACACAAAGACACACAGTCCTCCTGGTTACATTCAAGACTGAACCTGAGACCTACAGTAAGTCTTACAGTACAACAGTAAGTGACCTGTAACCCTAAATTCAGTAGCTGGATATTCATCTAAAACCAGTAAAGTGACAAGCTTATGGTTAACAATGACTTCAACACTGAGCTCATAATTTATTGGATTTTAACTATGGCAAATCATTATTTTACCATTTTTAAATCCCAGTTAGGTTACGGCCTCTCACTTCAGTCTGGAGGTCTACAGGATTGATTTGGTGGAGCTCATCAAACTAAAAGAGCTTATTGAAACAGCAGCATTGTCATGGTTTAGCTGTGGAAATATGCAGCAATAACCAACGCTATATAATGATGACGATGATGGTTTATAGTCAGTTGTTGGCAGCAGCTGTAATAATACGAATGTAAACAGTGACATATGTCTTGTACATTAGCTGCAATAGGTGGAACCCTGGATACATTGGGAATGTACCAGATAATGACCTATTGACTTGATTGATCTTTCTGGGCCTTCCTTATCTCTACATACAATAAGTTGAGAGTTGAATCCATTTCTGTCAGTCAGTTTGGAACCAAACACAACATATTAAAAAGAAATTAAAATAAAACTCTTGGCGTATTTCATCCTAACTGGTAGAAATCTCAATAAGGCACACATTACACACTCTTTCTTTCCCCATTTTACTTCAACAAATAACAGTGCTCGGCAGCCTAGTACATGAATCTGTATGTACAGTATATTACATCATAATGTGAATGACTTATAGTGCAAGCAGGTCAAGTACCTTTACATTAGCCTTTTTAAACAAAGCTGCCCGTTATGTAAGGTTGTGCACTCAGGAGTTATGGTGTGGTTTGCACACGTTGCAGATGGTGCAGAGCTCAAAAGCTGGTCGTCCAAGGAGCCCGTCCTCGGAGTTAACGCCAGTCTTACTTACTCAAGTTGATGGCTTTAGAAGTCTTTCTCCTCCAGAATTGCTGCAGTACAATAAGAGTCCACACCTGTTTCATTCCTCTGCCTCTATATGGATCCACGAGGAGCCATCAAACCTGGAGGACATCAGCAGAAGTTAGCCTCTTAGTGGTTTTGTTTGTTCTAGTTTTGTGATAGGTTTGAGTTTATGTGTAACGTACTTAAAATAAGACCCTGTCTAGATTGAGTTGCAATGATATAAATATGAGACCACCAACATTAAAAATCAAAATGCAAATCATAGCTATAGTAAGTGTACAGATGAAGAGGTGTGTGTGTGTGTGTGTGTGTGTGTGTGTGTGTGTGTGTGTGTGTGTGTGTGTGTGTGTGTGTGTGTGTGTGTGTGTGTGTGTGTGTGTGTGTGTGTGTGTGCATGCATATAAATCACTTACCCTTGGTGTGTGTGCAGTGTTGTCCATCAGGCTCTGTCTCAGCAAGCTTGTCACCACCTCAAGCTCCTGCTCAGCTTCCCGAATGTTTGGGTCCAGCTGGAGGACTTCCTGGAGGTCACTGCTGGCTGACAGATAGTCCTAGGTTTGGGGTCACATACATGCAGATATACACACACACACATAGAAGAAGAAAACAAGAGATAATTAGATGCACAAACCCTTCTAATCCAAAATCTTCAAAGAAATGAACCAGCATATTTGTAATCGGGGATGATAGGCACCTGTAAACCTTTATAAGCCAGTGCTCGCCTGTAGAAGGCTTTCTTGTTTCCCGGCTCCAGCTGCAGAGCAGAGTCACAGTCCTGTTTGGCCTCTTTAAAGTGATTCAGTTTCAGGAAGCAAATGGCTCTGGAGGATAGTGAAGAAAAAGAAAGGAGTCAAAAAGTGCAACATGTCAGGATTCTGCTACTGGTAATGATATTAAGGACCAATCTGCTCCATTACTGTTGAAATATCTTATTTTAACAGTAATGGAGGTTAGAGGACAGAAAATCTATATCTTAACAACTCATTTTTATTGAGTCAGAAATGCTCTTAAAACAAGAGAAAAATTCTGCCAGTGCAGTGACATTATTTCAGTCCACTTCTATAACAACTTGTTTCAAGAATCGTTCTAAAACGAAGTACCATTCTGGATTAAAATCAGGAATGTGCATTATCTTATCATCAACCTTTAGAAAACCCTTGAAATAAATTGTGATGAAGATTTGAAATCATCTTACTGCACTGGCAGATTTTTCAGCCTCAAAACAGACAAAATTTACTTTTTACAATGTTGAATAATATTTGATCTGGTATCAAGACACCTTCTACCTGTCCAACCTCGATACATCTTTGTTTTATTTATATGCTTCTCTATTATTAATGCCCCAACTAATCAGCTTCTCTTTATTTGCAGCCATAGACTGAAATCTTATGATAATATTATTTAACTTATACTATTTGTTATAAAACTGATAGTGGCTGCCCTTGTTCTCATAAGCAAGATTACATTTGATCTTAGCCACAATGAGATTTAATAGACTGAAGTTGACACCTGGATGATTATGTGGTGCCCTCTACTGTTTTTTTAAGAATTAGCATTTTATTACACCCTCAGCTTTGGGACAGTCCATGTGTCTGTCACATAAAAAATATGTGAACATGTAATCTGGAATCTGGTGCTACCGTTTGACCGAAAACTGGTTGAGAAAAAGGTAAAGATGAGCAAGGGAGGACTGCTGGAGGACACACACTGCACAGTGTTTATTTCCCAGTTTAATTCAGGGATGATTCAACATGTGGAAATTCCCAGATCAAACAGTCCTGCTCAGGGTGTGTGCAAGTAAGGCTTCAAGTTGCACGCAGTAGGGTTGTTTCATACCTGTTTGTGTAGAGAGCACATTCGTCAGGTTTTATGGTGAGACATTCACTGTACTTCTCCAGAGCCTCCTGGAACTGGCCCTTCTTGACCAGATCATTGCCTTTCTGTTTCAGTAAAGTAAACTGGGCCTCTTTTCTTCTGACTGTTGACAGAAAAATGTAATTTACCCAAAATTCAACACTGAAACAAGTGAAGGAAAATGTAGCAATACAATGTTACTGCCGTTAAGAAAACTGTCAATATCCTTTTGATAGGTCAAAACAAGTGGCAATATGATTGAACTAGATTTCGTTCTTCATTACAGGTTATACATGTCAGGGGCCGACTGTATTAAATGTGTGTTTGTTTGGTGCACAAACTTTTTCAGGAGTGATGAATAAATCCATCAGTCTACCAGCAGCAGTCAGAGGAGATGGGTGAACTCCTGCTTACTGAGCTCTCTGCTGTGCTGAGAAAGCCACTATGTCTAATGACTTGGGGAAAACACTCACACACACACACACGGGCACTTAAACACATCCATAGGCTTGTCAATACGTACATACACACACACACACACACACACACACACAATCCTGGCCTGGCCTTTATCAGAAAACCCAAGTATTGATATAAAGTCTAAATTATTTATCCAGTGAGAGAAGACAACTGACTGAACTTGGCGTCAAAGTAACATGTTTGCTGAAAGGTCATTCTTCTTCTGGCTGAGATGTCTGGTTAGTGGTACCTGCCACTCTGACAGTAACAATGACAGTAACAACGCCTGTTATTGGTCAAGACTTTCTATTCCTTTATAACTGAGAGAATAAATTGTTTAATAAAACACGGATTCTAGTTCATTCACCACTGCAAATGTTAAAAATGGAAAATAGAACCAAAACAACCAATCAGTCTATCAGGGTCGGTCTTTCCATCGTTTGCCTGTTTATGGATATGAACTGATAAAACCATGCACTAGTGGCATGTGGAATATTTGTCTGTGGAATGAGCCCTTTGCTTTGGCAATGGGAAGCAAGAACAGTTGCAAGAATCAGGAGAGCCATATGATTTTTTTAATTCAGTATCAACAACAGCTCAACCACAGTGCAGCACTCAATTATCTGTAGCTATTTAAAGCACTTTTGTAAATGAACAATTCATTCTTCAGTTCATTTTTTATCTTATCTTTTATCTGCCTCAATTTGTTTGAATGGATTCTTTATCATATAGAATTAAGGTTTATGTTGTTTTTATCTATGGTTTTAGTTTGTGGGTAATTATTTCCTATGCTTTCTTAATCAGCCTTAGTTGATTAAGATGGGAGCATTGTAACTTAACTGAATTACTTAATCACTTAAATGAATTCAAAATACCTACATCCAGTTGATTTTGCATTTATTAACATGGGCTGAGACTGCATTGACTTACTAGCCTGGTTTCAGCCTGAATCCAATATCTTCAAGAAACACCTTATATTAGGTGGTGAAATCCTATTTTGTCACTGCAAATATGCACCATTTAATATAAGATACAGACTTCTGCAATTCTGACGATCTGTCTACCCAGCAACAGCAATGTGCTATTCTGAGCTCTGCTCTGTCTATGTGCTATAGTCATGAAGTGTTTATGCCTATGTGTGTGTGTGTGTGTGTCTGTATATGATCAGTCTTTTATCAGTGTAAGGTGTTTGTAAATACAAATAAAGCAATGTATTTTCTAGTGTATGTGTGTGTTTTTATAGCTGTATACAACACTGCATATGTTTAAATATATTTGAATGTATGAAACGTGTGGAGTCTTCAGGTCTGTGTGAGCAGGAGCAGCCTACAGGAAACCTGACCTGGATTGTTCCATTACAGCAGCGCTACACTCTGTGTAGATCACATTCCCCTATGCATTATTGATTGATAGTCCACCCAGACCCACACACACACACACACACACACACACACACACACGCACACACACACACACACACACACACACACACACACACACACACACACACATACACATACACACACTGTCTCTCAGCAGGAGTTCCTCACTGAATCCCTGACCGACTTCTGCTTTATGTTTCCATAATTCAAGGGTATAATTTCAAATTTTAACGACCACAATTCATTACGCAATATTTCAAAAATTAAACTATTTGGTCCAGGAAAGAATAATATTAACACATACACATATTTTTATGTCAAAAAAAGAGAACGCATGTCCTAATTGGATACCACTTTTTGAAAACCATGAAATCACAGTTACACATAGTGATTGCTATAACTGTGCGTGCCGTGTGATGTGCGTGTGCTTGTGAATGATTTACAAAAAAATAGGAGGCTAAAAAACCTTAACACATTTACCTTTAAAATGTATGTTAATGTAGTTCACATAACTTCTCACTAAGCTCAGAGGAAGTGATTTCACTCACCTTCATCCTGTGCAGCTCTAGCGGCTCGGGCCTGGGCCTGCTCGATGCTGATCGGTTTCTGTCTGTGTTGCACCTGGACGGACAGAGGGACGACGGGGATCTCTGGAAGTTTCTCCCTCCACTCAGGTCCGTCCTGCTCGATCAGCATCTTGGTGATCCTGGAAGTAAACATGGAGAGTGTAAAACATGAACACGTGAATGGCAAAAGGGTTTTAAAAGTGCATGTGTTGTATTAGTTATATTAACACTGCAGCCACTACAGGGTTCGTAGGCTCTACTTTATGAGATGTTACTACTATTCTACATGGTACTGAACGTGTTGTCTTAACCCACTGTTTAAAAGTGATGTCTTAGGTTTGAATATTTCACTCAACGTAGATATAATATAAATACATTAAATTAAATAAAGTGCAAGCTGATACAGAATGTGACATTAATCATATGGTTTGGGAAAAACACAACAGCCATTGAATGAACCCTGAAAGTGCAATGCCTAAACAGCTCTCATTCTTTCTAAAAGTTACAGCAGCTACATGAGAGCAGCTGTAGTTTGGTATGTTTAGCTAAGCTGAGCTGACCTGTGGACGCTGTCATGAGCCGCCTGCACCCCGGTGTCAATCTGCAGGACAGTCTTATAATCCACGTAGGCCATTCTGTAGCGCTCCAGTGACTCATAGGCCATAGCTCTGCGCAACAGGGGCTTCAAGGAGTAGGGCTGCAGCTCCAAAGCCCTAAGAGGATCAGAGAGACGTAGAGACAGAGGATCAAACCCTCTACACCTGCACACTGTGTCACACGAGTAACTGGGCTGATCTGAAGCTCTCCATTCAAAAACATGTGAGGGAGTATTTGTTTTAGACAGAGAGATTCCTGCAGCCTCCTGAACCAACAATGAAAACCAAACCCCGTGCATCCAAAACTGCTTTTCCATTGGCGATCTCTATATATGACTCTATAAAAGATTTTGTGGGAAAGCTGAGCAATCTACTGTCTGAGCTTGTAGCTGTGTACTAAGCTGTGACAATCCAACTGAGGGCCTTATGGGCAAATTACAAAGCAAATGTGCTTTTTCAACTAATCCCTCCTGTCTGCTATGGATGCAGTGTATAGAAAAGCATATTTTCATTTATTGTAAGTATTCTATTCTATTTTCTTGTAAAGATGAAGTGCTGTGAATGATGAGTTCAGCTAAACAGAAGGGTCCAAATGAAAACTATCCAGGACAGCGTAATCATTAGGATATCCTGTGAAAGGATAATACATTGCCAACTATCACGTAATGTGTTTATAGTTAAGGCTTAATCTAAGGTTAAGCTGATGTCTACCTCCAAAAGTAACTAAACAAGCATTAGAGTGAAATGTTTTAAATTAATTTCAGATAAGTTTTTAGAATAATGCTAATAATGAACTCCATAATGAAATCCACATTATACCTTTCCAAACACAGTTTTCTATCACCTCTGAATGTAAACAGACTAATTACAGCCAGTTTGCCTCATACAAGCTCAACTGTTGAAATACTAAGAATATAAATAACATAAAAAACATAAGTTACAGCAGTAACAGTACATTCAATTGGAGTCAAAGGGAAATGCAATACCCGCAAACACCACCTTGAAGAAGAACTCAATTTTACATATCCAAGTCAATTTAAAGGTGTTGCAGAGAACTACGCATGTGTCAGAATAGTAGTATAAAGCTTTTTTGTGACTCAAGATGGAGCTGAAATCTGATAAACTGTCTCAGGTGATGTCCCTTGAGTCAGTGTAGGTTGGGGCTGAAGACTCCAACTTACCAGACCTCTTGGCCCGCTCCTCAACTCTATTAGCATAACACACCCAAATCTCTGCTCCAACTTACAGCAGGCGAGTTACATTGTGGATAATGTAGGCGCAAGTTTTGACAAGGAACAAGAAAGTATGGAATACAAAAGACATTTTGTACAATGCTAAATCGGTGGAGTACTTTAAATCTGACAAAAACTACACTGAAGTGGATACAAACAAGCGCAAAATAAATGTCTGAATGTGCAAATGAACACATACAGCCAGATGCGCACACAGTTCTGACACTGATCACGTACTTGGTGCAGTCCTGTATGCAGTCTGTGCTGTTTCCATCCTTCAGGTAACAGGCAGCTCTGTTGGAGTAGAGAATACACAGGTCTTCTGGACTGTCAATGCCTGCAGGGGAACAACCATAACTCATCTGAAAGAACAGACACTGAAAGAACACTCCAGTCATCTTTGAGCTCAGTATAAAACACGATCAATACAATAGTTTTACTCCTGTGAAAATAAGATGGTACGCTCAGCGGTTTGGACTGAGAGCTATAGACCAAAGAGAAATCATGATAACACAAACAGTTCAATTTAAAGTCATTACACTATCCAGAGATGCTGAGGGGGGGTCAATGGTAGACGAAGGCAGGTAGATGAATGGATGTGTTATCAGTCACTCTGGTAGAGTAATTTTCTACTCTGTCCTTTCTCCTCTGAGCCTCCAGTTCACAACCCTCTAGCAGACCATCAGTTATTATACACTGCTTCACTTCCCTTAAAACTACTGTCAGCAGTCTTCATACCCATCTACACCTGTGTGATCTCTCTACAATATTAAAAAAAGACATCATGACACATTGTTGTCAGTCCGTCATTCAGTCAGTCAGTCAGTCTCAAAGTATCCTTCTGTTAAGTCTGCTATGATAATAAGTCTACTCAAATCATTTTAAGTCTATCTCCAGTGCTGCAGAAAAAGCAAATGACTCTTGCCAACTACGTGAGTAAAAGTTGGCTGAGTGCTCTTTAAGTTGGAGCATGACATTCAATCTTACCTAAAAGCCCCATGCACCAGCACATGACTTCTATCTACGGTCAGTCGCACTGCCTTGCGCCAACACTCGGCTGCATTTACAAGTCAACTCCTCATTTCTCAGATACTGTTTGTGAATGTGTGTAAAAACTAATAGGTAACAGTAATAACTGACAGGTGACATGTCTGAAAAGTGACCTGCACTCATCCTGCACTTCAATTATAATGTGGGGTGGAGAGCATGTGCATGCAGATTGGGTAGACAGAGGAAATTATGCAGCATGGCAAGCACAGGCATAATGCATTCATAACTGACATGAGATACTTTGGATTATGGGGCCAAATGACACTGAGTCAATTTCCCTTTCCTTACAATAGCTAATACACAGGTGTTAGAGGTGACATTTTGTCTGTCACTGTGCCACCCATCTCTTGTTCTTTCTACCTCAGTCACTTGTTAGAGAATTAAGTATTTATACTATTAAGATCATTTAGAAACTAAGTATGAATAAAGTATAAGGTCAAGTATGCAGCTGCGAAATTAAGCTAAATAATTACTTGATGAATCTATTAGTCGATCAAAAGAGCGTTAATCAACAATTTTGATAACTGTCTAAAATAAGATTCCACAAATTCACAGGCCCTAGTTTTTATAAGTCCTCTGTGATTGTAAATGGAATATTTTTTTGGTTGTGGCCTGTTAGTTGGACCAAACAAATATTATGAATACATTAATTTGGGTTTTAGAGAATCATTTCAAACAATTAATTGATTAATATTGTGTATGACAGGTTTTACAATACAGAATTTCTTTTACCAGATATGTCTGAGAGTAAAACATGTTTTGCTACCTAAATTTGTAATCAACAGACACGTTTTCCTTTGAATGAAATTCTGTATCTGAGGTGATCACTCTTGGAAAATAAACAAACAGCTCATATCTTCCCCACCTGCTTCAGCACATCCATCAATGGCCTGGGTATACTTCTCCAAGGCATCTCCAAACTGGCCATGTTTGAAGAGATGGTTTCCCTCATTCTTGAGCCGAGCCAGGTGAGGAGGAAGGGCCCCAGCAGGGGCGTCCAGGTAACTTGTGTCCACTGCAGGGCTGTCCTGCTCCTGTTGTCCACCTGCAGGGCTGCTTTCCCTCTGTGTGCCATTGGCCACCCCCTTCTCTGGAGCTCCCTGAGTGTGGGGCTTTTTCACGCTGCCTCCACCCCGGCTTCTCGTCCCGCTCCCTGCTGTGGCCTGATCTAATCTAGCTGCCCCTCCTCCGCTGCCCGAGGGTTTCTCCTGCGTGTTCCCCATAGCTGCACTCCCTCTGCAGTGTGTTCAAACTCTTCCTGCCTCCCTGCCTCTCCCTCAGAGCTGCAGCTACATCTGTGCCTGGCTGGGGATTTCTGATAGACACGCCCCCTGGATGAAACGTCAGAAGTGATGTCACAGAGGGGGGAAGTGCAACAAAGATGCAGTGCTGCAGTAGGACAGCACTGATGGGAGAGCCTCAGATTAGACTTCACAGCAAATGACTCTGGGGAGAGAATGCCTTCTTGTCAATCTGTCTTTTCACTGTAAAATAAAACTTTGGGTTTTTCGATAACCCTTATAACAGAGGACATTTTAACATATAACAGGAAAAGGACACCTGTAGATAATAAAATGAATTAGCTGCTTCAGTTTCAGCGTCCTGGTAGTGTACATGCTTGCTCACTGTCACCCTATCATGGCTTACTGGACACTTAAATAGAATAGAGCATTGTAAATGTTAAAAATAATAATACCTTTGCTATTCCTACTATTACTATTACTATCCCGTGAATACAGCCAATTGCTGAATCATAAAGCAACATGATGAAACTAATTTGGGCTCTACCTTGTGATGGGTATTTGTCAATGAGATTATTTTTCAATTTTTATAGATTTAAAATTTTTATTCTATATAGTAGTCAAAAAAGAATTAGGCTACCATAATGATGTCACTTAAAGAACTAGTCCCACACTGTACGCTAATTCTCTTTCTTGCCAATAATAAGATGTAATAACTGACACTATATTCTCATGTCTTTATGGTAAATAGCATAGTTGAAGCCAGCAGCTGGTTACTTTAGCCTAGCATAACGAATGAAAACAGCTGCGTCCAAAAGTGGCTACATTCAGAGCGGACATTTTAACTTGTCTCATATATTAACACGTTACTGATTGTTTGTGTAATCTCTACAAAAACAGCAAACTACTGTAATAACTACTATTCACAGTTGAGGCCTCTATTGGTTGCCTGGCAACTACTCCCAGCCAGAAAATAGTCCAGCACTTATACTGTTAGTCTGTGGTCCAACACATAAAGTAAAAGTTTGCATATCCCCCAGTAAAAGATTAGTTGACCTGTGTTGTGTAGTTTACTTTTTGTCCAAATTTAACATTATATAGTATTAATTAGTTTACTTTTAGAAGGGAAGCGGTTTTACCCTGGTTCGAGCCTTCGTGCTACGCTAAGCTAACTGGCTACAGGTTGGCTTATATTTACCTTACATATCCCTGCATTGAATCCATCTTCTCATCAAACCAATCCTTGTAGGTGCAGATTCCACGGGCATGGCTCGCCATCTGGCGACCTGTGTCAGCCACGCATACAACGTTGAAGAGCCAATTTCATGTGAAATGTTTTAGTCCCTTTTAGAGGTGTATGTTACTTAGCCTCCCCTCACTGATTTAAATGACGTGGACCAAATAATAGAAACAACTTTCCGTACAAAATGACCAAGAATTGAATCAGCACCTCTCTAAAACAGTTCAACACAAACTGAAACTATATAACTTACCCAAAAAAGAGAGAAATTAGTATTTAAAAAGCAAAATTTCTCAATTTGCGTTCCTGTATCCACCTAATTGTTACCATTCAAATATGATAATGAATATGAAAAAAACAGTGAAAACAGTTAAAGTGAGTAAAAATCATGTTTTTTAATAAACCAAAACTTTCATCCATCACTTGAAAAGTCACTCAAAAAAAGAAAAAGAAAAAGTAAAACAGTACTGTTTGTGTTGACATGAAAATGATGGGCTTTGACCATAATTCAGAAGTATGGAGTCAGGTCTGAAAGTCTATTTATTTACATGGTCATACACTAGAAAAATAGCACACAACAATAACAATCATAACAGCTGCTCTCCTCTTCTTCATCTGGCATCAAAGACAACCACTGAAATCAAATAGTCAAGGAATGTATAGGTATCATAGTATTCACTTCAAACATATGGTTTAATAAATATGAAAAATGTTTTCCATCCAAATGTGTGCATTTGTTCAAAACCTTACACATCTGTTCCCTTTTTAATAAATTCTCACAAGGGGTAGTCAGTCAAGAAATGTTCCATGTTTTCAGCATGAACATGAAACCACAGTAAATATAACATGGTCTTTGACATGTCTTCTCTATAATCTAAAATCCAAAATCCCCATCATAAAAATTTCGATCCATTGATTTCGAGGTGTGTTATCATTCCAAAATCTGATAGTTCTTTCAATCAGATTATCAGTGCTGGAAAACAAATTGTAGCTCAATGATAAGTTCCCTGTATGGTTTCACTCTGTCTCTCTCTCACACACATGCAAAGACATTTAAAGGATACATCTCTTTGTTCTCTTCTTGTACATGATCCTGTAGCCGCACTCTCTGCATCGGATTGGATCACGGGCTTTAATTTCATTTTCAGTGTGACATTCTGCAATTAAAGACAGAAAAAATGTAACAAAAAATACCCTTACATGAAGACTGATACAGTTTGTAGAACTATGTTAAAGAACTCGTCAGTCAACAGAAAATAAATCTGCAATTATTTTGATCCTGAAATATATCCTGAAATCTACTGGTCTACAGACATTTAAACATACCATGTAATGGTTACTTATGCTAACTCTGTCTCAAATGTGTGAAAGAGGAGGCAAGACGGACTGGTTTAGATTCTTGGGTGAGAATTATACAATATTAGCCCTTTACTTGATATTAATTATGTTGTAGACATGATGGACTCTTTGTAGTATCACTTGGAAACGTATGGACTGCACTCTAGATCTGGTTTATATTAAATTGTGGTTTCTTTGGACCCAGTGCACTCTAGGCAGAGCTGTGTAAATGACACAAATAAAAAAAATCATTGTATAAAACTGGATTGTATCGACCTCAAGGATCTCATTTAATGTCCTTAAGTACTAAGTGCTATATGTATAGCACTGATGTATCAGTTCTACTAGAACCGTAGTTATTTTATAGTATGACGTAAGAGAAACACCCAAGACAGAAGAAGTTGTATTAGTACTAACAGTGATAATAGATGCATTAGAAAACAGGTCTGGTAGTATCGTTAGCTTAAGTAACGGTTGTAGTGGCAATAACATTAACACAACAGTAGAAATGCACCTCCACATATGTAGATCATAGGCTGCTGCTTGGGTGGTTGCAAATCTTTCTGTGTATCCATTTTGATCCTTTAAGATAGAGAGAGAGGTGTTAAGATCATCACATCTGTATCGTTTTAGCATGCTAACACAGAAACAGCATGGTGCTGCCGATAGGATTAGCCAAAACCGTCATAACCGGTGGACGTAGTGAACCGCAAAGGTCTTTGAGAAATCTCAAAATGGAGTATTTATATAGTAAATATGAAATACACCGAAGGAATAGAGACAAATAAGAGATCTTACCGTTTAAAGACACTAACTGTTAGCTGTTTACCTCTCTTTTCATCTCACACTGGTGTCTTCGCGCACATGCGTACAACTGTCCAATTCGCCTCAAAGCAAGGTGTATTGTGATTGGTCAGAAGATACTCTGTCATATTTGGCTTATTTTTGATTTTACGAATAATACAAATGTATAACGAATTCCAAAGTATGTAATAGCCTTAAAGGTTTGTATTTTACATTATCCACGGTTTCTAACTTTGTAGAGACAAAAGTTGTGGTGTTTTTGTTTTGCACTCCGGCTCACCAGGGGGCGCTATGGTAAAAAATTATATCCCCAAACGGTCAATCATCTGACGGACACTCAGCTGGCCCTCCACTAGTTTTTGACAACAACGACTCTGTCGACAATGTTCACATCGTGACTATTGGCCCCAAAACTGACATAACTTACTATTTGTCCGTTGCCTTTTTATTCTTTGAAGCTATACATCATGGAGCCGTCTGCGCCCAAAAGGTTTGTGTACATTCTGCTGGTTTGAATCGTTGTTTCAAGCTATTAACTAGCGAGCAAAAGGCTAACGTTGGCGGTAGCTGCCGCTTAGCGAGCTAGCTAATGCTAATTTAGTTAGCTTTACCAGTTTTCTTTCAAACTTTCTCTCCAGTTAAGACGAATTAACGGGTTTAATGATCACTCTTGATCAAAATCACACGCACTGTGTTAAACCTTCTGGTGGGTTTGAGGCCTGTCTCGTGGTTGGGCTAACAATTTTAACGAGTGCCTTTTAGAGAGCAGTTTGACATGTGTTACTATTTTAACATGAAATACAAATTAATTGGTTGTGTGTGAGTTGAGACAATCTCACACCTCTGTGGAGCATCAATGGTACCCGTTTAGTTCATTGGCCTCGGTCCATTGTGTACACTGGTAGTTCAAACTTAACACCACAGGGGCTGATTTCACTAAAGAGGAAATAAGAGCTGGGCGATATTGCAACAGTAACATGATATATCTTAAATGTCGTTTCCCTGCTCTGAAAGGCAACATTTCAGTTAGGCATTATCTGTAAAATTAGAGCTTCAACTGTAGGCTATCATATGCAACCGTAAAACTGTAATTTACCTTTTAGTTGTTTTGAAAATCGACCATCTCTATTTCCAAGACCCTGTGTTAAGGCTTCAAGATGCTTGTTTTGTTCGACCACCAGTTAAAAACCTACATATGACAAATTCTTATTTCGTTTACATAATGAAACAAATAATCAATCAGTTGATTAACAGAAAATTAATTATCCACAATTTTAATAATTGTATAATTTATCGAGGTAAAATTCTAAATATTTGCTGGTTCCAGCTTCTCAAATGTAAGAATTCTTTTTTATTTAATTTTACAGTATTGTAAACTAAATATCTTCCAGTTTTGAACTGTTAGACAAAACTAGACATCTGAAGATGTCACCTTGGACTCTGTAAGATTGACCCATTGACTAATGATTTCACTGTCCCAACTGGTGACTTATTTATGTCTGTAACTTTAACTGATTTGAAATGCTTCTATTGTACAATGTTTTAGTTTGGTTTCTATTCTTGTCTTCAGTTACACATTTATACTGAGATTACAAATGATTTATTCCATTTTCACAGCAAGCTGAAAAAGCTGAGTGAGGACAGTCTAACCAAACAACCAGAGGAAGTGTTTGATGTTCTAGAGAAGCTTGGTGAAGGGTAAGAACTTCATCTCTGCTCCTTTGACTGAAAATATTTTAAGTCCATCAGATACAATAGTCAGCACTTTCTGAGATGGACCTCTTTTGTTGTGTAATACATTAAGTGGTTAATATTTTTAACTATAAAATGCAGTTTATACATATTGGGACTTAGCTTTTGTGTCTGTGTTTAGTTCCTATGGCAGTGTGTTCAAAGCCATCCATAAGGAGTCAGGCCAGGTGGTGGCCATAAAGCAGGTCCCTGTGGAGTCTGATCTGCAGGAAATCATCAAGGAGATTTCCATCATGCAACAGTGTGACAGGTGGGGAAACAATGTAGATTTCCTGAAATCTTCACATTTACTACATAGATGAAATTAGAAACGCTGAAAAAACCTTTATTGTCCTCAAAGTATTATTTTAGCTACCATAGATCACTGTACTAGGTAGGTTTGATTTAACAATCATACTAGTATCTCCTGCTGCCCGTACTATCCATTGTCTTGATGTATGAAGTTTTCTCACTTCTGCTCTTTTAGTTTGAAACGGAACTTTGTCCTCTCTTTTGATAACCACTCTGTTTTGCGTTTCCTCTTAGCCCTTATGTAGTGAAGTACTATGGCAGCTACTTCAAGAACACAGACCTGTGGATTGTCATGGAGTACTGCGGCGCTGGGTCTGTCTCTGACATTATCAGGCTGCGCAATAAAACGGTGGGTATTTACAGAGGGTTACAACTTCCTGTGTGGGCTAGTCTAAAAATTTAGGGATTCCCAGAATTTATATTTTCTGTGATGTTTTTCTTAGAAAAAGCAGATTAAGTTATTTATATTATATATCCTAGACTGATACACTTTACCAACAAATAGTATTGAAGTTTTGTTCAATAGTTATACACTTCTGAGGTTGTCTATTGATGTAACACAGACGTTAACACAATATTTCTTATTGATATGATGGTGAGAAAGCCACAGTGTCCTCATGACTATTTTTACAGACATGAGCATGGTTTTTATATTGTTATTACCAAACAGTGGTGTGTATAATAAAGCAGAAAGGAGAGATTTTTAAGTAGGTTCTAAGTTGTAGACACTCAGGACTGAACTGTCAAAACTAATGATTGCATAAAAAATACAATAATTCATACTTTACTCTTCGTTACACGTTATTATTTCTTTATTCACTCATGGATCTCATTTTGTCCCTGCGTTTTCTTTTTCCTTCCCACCTCAGCTGACAGAGGATGAGATTGCTACCATCCTGAAGTCCACATTGAAGGGTCTTGAATACCTCCACTTCATGAGAAAGATCCATCGGGACATCAAGGCAGGAAACATCCTTCTCAACACTGAGGGACATGCCAAACTGGCAGATTTCGGAGTAGCTGGACAACTAACGGTAACATTATAATTGATGTTGGAGTTCTTGTGACAACAAAGTGAATGGTCTCATCAGTCCTCCACATGGAATACTCAGTCTTTCGCTGATTTTGTGAATCCATTTGAATGGATTTAAAACGTAGTGCTCAATGATGAGACCAGCATATATTTTCTCTCTGAAGGACACCATGGCAAAGAGAAACACTGTGATCGGTACTCCATTCTGGATGGCCCCAGAGGTGATTCAGGAGATTGGCTACAACTGTGTGGCTGACATCTGGTCCCTGGGCATCACTTCTATAGAGATGGCAGAAGGAAAACCTCCCTACGCTGACATCCATCCCATGAGAGTGAGTGTAAACATGTTGGGTACTAAACCTAGCCACTTTGCTCTTATCAAAGTCTCTGACTCTGTTTTGTATCTTCTCTATGTTCCTCCAGGCGATCTTCATGATCCCCACCAACCCTCCTCCAACATTCAGAAAGCCCGAGCTTTGGTCCGACGAATTCACAGACTTTGTCAAGAAGTGTCTGGTGAAGAATCCAGAGCAGAGAGCGACTGCCACCCAGCTCCTACAGGTTGGAAGGAAGGAGGGAGACATACACACAAGCACATGCACACACAAGCAGCCGCATTTAGATATAAACATATTACAGCAGAAGTAACAAGCTTATGTGCACACACTCAAAGACTTGATGCTGTAGAAACACATTCATAAAACACAAGATGTAAAAGATGCATAGATATAATTTACCACACAGTGGTAAAATAGAGTGCGCACAACAATCTTTTTTTTCTGCTTAACATCCAGCACCCATTCATCAGCCAGGCCAAGCCAGTCACAATTTTGAGAGACCTGATAACTGAAGCCATGGAGATGAAAGCCAAAAGGCAGCAGGAGCAGCAGCGAGAACTGGAGGAGGAGGACGACAACTCTGTACGTATGCTGAGACGTTGTTCCATTCAAAGCAACCACCAGACAGCTCTATGTTAAGGCTTTATGTCTCATTGTCTTGTGTCATTCAGGAGGAAGAGACTGAGGTGGACTCTCATACTATGGTGAAGTCGGGCTCAGAGGGCGCAGGGACCATGAGGGCCACCAGCACCATGAGTGACGGAGCACAGACCATGATCGAACACAGCAGCACCATGTTAGAGTCAGACCTGGGCACTATGGTCATCAACAGTGATGATGAAGAGGAAGAGGAAGACCAGGGATCCATGAGGAGTGAGCACATATGTGTTGTTAAGCAAATTATAGGGAATAAGGTGATGGTAGCAGACAGGAGAACAGAAAAGAGGAGCGAGTGCTTAAGAAATATTATATTTACAAAGGATTATTTGTAATCACATTGACACTGGTATTTTTATGGAGACACACAGTCTAACACCACGGAGCCCCAAGCAGTCACTGGGTGCGAAAAAATCGTGTGACTGAAAGCAAAGTGCTAGAGAAGGGCTGGATCCAACAAAGGTCTCACAGAGTAGCCATGTTGCCATGTTCATGTCATACGAGATGGATGGTATAGTTGTTTATGTTTACAACTTGCAAGTGTTCACATGATCAAGCTTTTTATATGTTGACACTTGGTGGTGTGAGAAATAAAATATAGTGCATTGACAGTATAACACCATATCCATTAGATCCTGGTTTAGTTACACTGAACGGCAGTCTCTGGCTGATTTGAGGCATTAATATTTGTTTAGTTGCCAAGTCAGATGTATCAGAGCTTTCAGAAAAATACGAGATTTTCAGTGGTAATATTGACTTAGATGTTGACGTGAATGGTGTGTGCTAATTGGAACTCGTATTTCCCATAATTGCAATATGACTTGAACACAACATAAGTTACCACTAGACAGATGGGGTAAGTTGCCTGTGGTCCTTTGAACAGAACGTTCTAAGTGATAATAAATGTTATATCCGTGTTATTTAATGGGTGGTAATATTGTCCAGAGTATGAGGAGTGTCCCTTTAAAATCTCAACAATCATAAATTTCCAACATGCTTTAATACACTCGTAGATTGTCTCCAAGAAAGCATATCTTAGATAAGTCATGATCCTCTTCCTCCTCCACAGGGCACGCCACCCCCCAGCAGCCCATACGTCCATCTTTCATGGACTATTTTGACAAGCAGGACTCCAACAAGGCAGCCCAGCAGCAGGAGAACTACAACCACAACCAGCCACAGGAGCAGCCCGGCTACCACATCCAGTCCAAGAACGTCTTCCCTGACAACTGGAAGGTCCCACAGGACGGGGACTTTGACTTTGTGAGTAACATCTTCCACAATTCTGTGATGCTACCGCTGTAATGAATGGGGTTATTCATGGTGGAAATTATTATACACTAGTCCTTCAGTGGTTAAAAATATAAAAACAGAAGACACTAAATATGAATCATCTCTTTCTCATCCTCATTTGTCTGTGTTTGTACTTGTGTGCTATCACCCAGTTGAAGAACCTAGACTTTGAGGAGCTACAGATGCGCCTGAGTGCCTTGGATCCCATGATGGAGCGGGAGATCGAGGAGCTCAGACAGCGCTACACTGCCAAGAGGCAGCCCATCCTGGATGCAATGGATGCGAAGAAGAGAAGACAACAGAACTTCTAAGTGATCCTCCCTGTCGCCCTCATGCCCTGGTCTGGGTTTCAAAGCCACTATTACCACAAACCCTATGTCCTAATGACTCAGAGGAACTAGAATGACCTTATTGTCTTTGTTGGAAGTCGACTGGAAGTCTGACTGACTGCTAACTGGCCTCTGTCTGAAGAGAGATGCTTCTTTTCCTGGGTAACATCCATTTTGGCTCCTGGAATCCACAATTACAAGCCTTGTTTCTACACAATTTAAACCTTAAATTTGATTCTACTGTTCCTGTAAAGTTCCTTCTCCACAAATGTTGTTCAAGACTGCGGCCAAAGAGAGAACCGAGCCTTGGTGATTGCACATCTGAAAGTCGCAAAATTAACTTCCTCTCTTCCAAATGAAATTCCCCTCACATAGAAAGACCCTCTGGGAATCACCGTCAAAACATAAGGAAGGACATCTACCATGACAACCAGGCCAGCATTTCACCTAGTTTCTGGAAGCAGCAGTGTGGTCAATGATAAGTGGTCTTTTTTCCCTCAGACATTTTTAGTTTCACTGTAAATATAATATAGAGCCTAGTTTGGAAATACCTGCAACAAAAAGCTGTGGAGGTTCGTCCATGACCAAAGACAATCAAAGTGACGTAGATTCAGTTGAGAATGCCTTAAAAATATTTGAAACCTGGTTTTCAAAATAAGCAATGTAATAAAACAACCAAGTTGTCAGAGGGTTAAATCCCTCCTCACTTGGAGAGATGAGTTGGACTGTGGAAAGCTGCAAGTGTTTGTCAGAGTGGACAGATTGGATGGTGAAGAGTGGATCCTGCATGTTTTCAATTGTTTGTGGACCAGAAAATTCTACACTCATTTCTCTAGTCTTTATTCTCATTTATTTAATTTTGTTGTTTCCAAATATGATGTTCTGGGCTTCTTGATATTTCCAATGTACTGTCCATATCGACAGACACCATGCATCTTAGTGCCTCATAACACACACCTGTCCCTCACTGAGCATGCACTCGCCCACTCCTGAGCCACTTTTTCTTTTCAATGCAATAGTTGTCACAGAAATTCATTCCCAAAGCAAAAGCATTCCTAAATACTGAATGACTATTATTTTAATCTCTCTGTGGTCTTTAAAAACCCTGTATGACTTTCTGAAACGTCTAAGCCAGATGTCGAGCCGTATCAATTCAGGGCTCCGTGAAGAAAGTAGCCAGGTATTACTTGCCATATTGACTGTTCATAGCTGTAGTTCACTTCAGGAGATAAAAGACTTAAGTGATTGACTGATACTGTTCACTTAAGTAAAGCAAAGCCGCTGCATCAGCCACACATCTTTAGATAATTATTTTGTATTGCATTAAAATCTCTTTTCAGCAAATTACCCTGCAGCTTATATATATATATATATGTATATATATGTATATATATATACACTCACGTGTTGTTGCTTTCCATTTCCTGACATTTAGAGTGTGATGTTATTGGTGAAGGAATGAAAATGTACTTTGTGCTCTGCGTGTTTTGGGACACAAACTCATTATTAACAGTTCAAAACTGTATTTACACAAAATTATTGAGCCCAGTGAGGAATGTGTGGTGTGAAATTGCTCCTTCTTTGTGAAAGTGAAGGTTAGTAAGGTGTTTTTATTCAAATTTCTGCACTGAAGGTAACTGTCAGCACCAGCGTATGTAATGGCCAGTAGGTAACAAGAAATCTTATTACAGAAATGTTAACGATATCTTTGCAATGGGCTGAGAAACTGTAATTAAGAATGGAGAGAGTTGACAGGTTTATTATTTAACTGTAAAAGATCCGGTTCAGCATCTGTATCGGCCGTAATTCTTAAATAACCAAATTCAAGGGATCTTATCAAATGGTTGTTTATCCTTAAAAAAATATTTTTTCCTACTATCAGATTTTTCTCAGCTGTTAAATATTGATATCGGTCTCTGACTCAAAAATCCAGTTTGGGCTGTAGTTCACAGGTTTGAGTGCTGAATCGAAAACCCTTACTAACAAGCCCATGACATACAGTGTGTGTCATACACATGTGATGTCTGCATGAAGGAAACAAACTGCTCTTGTCTTATAATTTAGTTTTGTGTCGATGTTTTGAGTTTGATCTGTCATGTGCTAATAACGACCCTTTGAATGAATCCAGACTGTCCTTATACTGAATACACCTGCAGTATGTCTGCACGTTGCTGTTACATATGAAAGTTAATATGCAGTCTTGATGGTGTGGTTCAGCCCATACTTACTGCATATTATGTGACATTTTACAAATAGGATAATCTTATACATCGACCTGTTACACTATCTTACTGTGTGTCTCATCTGACGGATAATGTGGCCAAAACGAGACGACATTTTAAACACAAATTCAAATTTCAATCAGCACCATCTCAATGTCTGAATGATCATGTTTGTACGTATGATTGATTGTTTTATTTTTCTACATGAAGATGAACCTGTTCTTTCACAGAAATCATTAACATTCTTGCCATGAAATGTTTTCATAAATTAAGTCTGCAGTGCATTTAGCAACTTACACACAAGCATTCACACTCTATTTATTAAATGCTTAAACTTCTTTCTTTTGGTGACACTGGTTTAAATATAAAAGCTGATCTGGCTGTTAATATTTTAGCCCCTTGTCAAATATATTTGGCTTGATTTCTGCTTGTGTTGGACTATGCATGTTTATAATTCTGTTTGCTCTGTAGTGGAATGCTCTTATATTAACTGCACAGGTAAGAGTATTGTTAATATGGAGGATGGATTATTTTCAGCTTTTAATGAAAACTGCTCTGTACAGTTTTAAAAAGCCCAGTTTGAAATATGACGTTGTTCAGAATCGGCCATACTATGTACAGTTATCTGAAATCACGTTTTGATATATAGCAGTATGATTTTGTCTTCATTTATTTCCGCTATATAATAACTTTTGAGGGTGTTGGGTGGAATGTGAGCATTTATGTTTGAACCACTTAATTTATTATCTTTGTTTGTAATACTTTATAAAGTTTTGAAAACGTGCAAGAAATAATAAAAGTTACTTATAGTTAACCTTAACTGCAGTGGGATGCTTTATATCTTATCTCTGATCTCACTTGTGGAGACTTCAACCTCTGAGCTGGACTCAGTTGTACCGTAACTCTTCTACTATTAACGCCACTGTTTTCAGTTCGCATGCTGTTTCCTAAAGAAGCGCCTCCTAAAATGCAGCTTGCTCTTGTTGGCAGAGATTACGGTAGACTTAACGGGGGCAACTGTTCCTTTTTATCGCCCCCCTAAGTTGTTGCACAGCCATTTCACAGCCAGTCTGCAGTGAAGAAAGTTTGGAGGAAATAGAAGAAATAAAAAAATCAGGAAAACATGGCTGCACTCCACAGAAAGATCATCAACACTCCATCGGCCCCGGCGGCCATCGGTCCATACAGGTAAGGCAAGTTTAAACTCAGAAATATGCATCATAATCTATTTATAGCGACACGTGGTTTGCAGAAGTCAGTGCATTAAATGAATGAGTGGGAATCACACACACAGTCCAGCGTTTGACCAGGGGCGGGTCTTCGTGTTCAATGAACTCACCTGTTTGACTTGACCCCATAAAAGAAAGTGCCGAAGTTAAACTTTGAGCAGAGCAGAAGAAGCAGAGCAGAGCAGAAATATCTCTGAATCACACAGGCAACAGAGTCATGGCAACTATTCATCGACAGATTCCTTACACACCTAAAGCCCCTGTCAGACAGGGAATATACAGGTAAGCATCAATGTGCTGTGAAATACTGCAACTTGAACCTCAAATAGCTCTAGCCTTAAGAAATTAAAAAAAAAAAAAAGGTGCCGTTTTTGTTTGTGATAACTCGACTAAAACATATTTCAGTGATCAGAAGTCATGAAATTGCCTCACTAATTTCCTGTTTTCTTTGATTCAATGTGTGTACTTGCTCAGATTGAGGGGTGTTCCTGGTCTGACCAATCGGCTGTCAGTGGGCGGAGTTAGTTTAGACAGAATGGACTCTGCTCATGATCTTGTTTTCGAGCAAAAATCCACATTCAGTCGATTCACTACTACTGCACTAACATGCACCGTGCATCTAAGATACTGTAACACTAATTGATATTTAGGCAAATAAAACAGGTTACAAGGTTAAAGCAAAACATACATTACGTCACTGAACATCACAGACTCATGTAAATGAAATACTGCAGTAAAATAGAGCCGTCAGAGTTTTATCATATGACTTTATCTGGATTACTCCTTTTAAAAGATTAACAGCTTGTTTGCATCTTATTTTTCACCATTTCTCCCAAATGCTTGGTTGATTATCAGTCACATTAATTAACTATTGTGTGTGTGTGTGTGTGTGTGTGTGTGTGTGTGTGTGTGTGTGTGTATGTGTGTGTGTGTGTCCTCTGTATTATCCTCAGTCAGGCGGTGGTTGCGGACAGAACCATGTATATCTCCGGTCAGCTGGGGCTCGATGTGGCCTCTGGTCAGCTGGTAGATGGAGGAGTCCAGGCCCAGGCCAAACAGGTGAAGCGGATAATGATGATGATGGTTGACTATGTTTGAACACCACAAGATGGCAGGACATTTACTGTCCAGTTATTTCTAGTGGCTGAGAGGTTTATCAGTGTAAACCAGAGCCACTGTGCCTCAACTTTACTCCATTTCTATAGTAACTCTGTTTCCATAAGTAATTTACATCTAAGATCATCAAGAAGCACAGCTCTGAGTCACATGCCTTTGACCAAACAACTGAGGCTCAAAGTATTCAGTAAGCTATTTTCTTTAAATGACAAATGTTGCATGCTAAGATGATGGACGTACAAGCATTAAAGCTACAGTGACTTGACTTAGGTAAATGTGTATTTTTGCTTTTCAATTTAAATTTCAAGTGTTAAGAACCTAATAAAAACAACAATATGAATAGATAAAAACACAAAATTCAACAAACTAAAGCAACAGTGTCTACACTGACACTGATTAATTCAAATAACAGTATGTTTCCCAGGCTTCGTCCTTTTGGCTATTACATTTAAAGGTCTGAGCAACATAAATAAAAAACAGAAACATAACAGGTCACCTCTCATTCCACAGGCTCTCGTCAATATGGGGGAGATCCTTAAAGCTGCTGGCTGTGACTACACCAATGGTAAGATCTGACTGTTGTCAGACTCATATGCTCTGTGTGTGTGTGTGTGTGTGTGTATGTGTGTGTGTGTGTGTGTGTGTGTGTGTCAACAAACTAAAGAAAATAAAAAATAAAATCTTTTGTTTCAGTGGTGAAGACGACCGTGCTGCTCTCAGATATAAATGACTTCAACAGTGTCAATGAGGTCTACAAGACATGTAAGTACACATGTAAATACTTAATTGTTTCCATATTTCAATACACGTTGCCTAACATTTTATGCAAGAAAGTGAAGAATGTGCAATTAACTTATTAATTTCTAATGGTATTGTCAAAATGTACTTTGTGTTCTTCCCTCAAAGTTATAATCTATTAAGAAAAGCAGCCACATGGGGGCAGGTTTTAACCAGGTCAGAACTGCTGTCACCTGGTCGATCTGCCTGCACAAACACCTGAGTCACTGTTTGGATAGTGGGTTCATTTAATCAAGGCTGTCAGTATACTATCTGCCAGCTCCAACAGTGTTGATTTGTAGAACATTTCTCACATCACTTGACTTTCAGTGCAGATATGATTTGAGAAATTAAACAGGTTCTTGTTTTTCCTGACGGTTATGTTTATATGCTCCTGTGTCTGGAGCCTGAAGAATTCAACCTGAATAATTATAGGCTTTAATGTAATCATTTAGTGAATTGATCAGTTCTAAAAAGGTATAATTTGATTCTATTAAATTTGCATCAAAACAATGCATCATAAAACTAAAAGTTAAGAAAGTAATAAAAACTTCACTAAATTTGACAATACTACTTCCTTGTTCTGACTTCAAATTATGGCTTCTTTTTTTCATTTTAAAATAGATTTGCAAAATAGATTTTAAAAATGTTTTTCCATTGAACTTTTTGTCACTGCAGTTGCTATGTGTATGCATCTCATATTCCATCTCACACTACATTTGATCCCTGGTTTAACATGTACAGTTTCCATTTCATGATTGTTTTAAATTACAGGCAGCTTGCTCTAATTTAAAGATATCTAAGTGGTGTCCCACCTCAAAATTAAATGAAATCCAGTTCACAATCTACTATTATATTACACTTAAACAGTGTAAAAGTCTGTAATCAGTCCAGTGGCACACTCCTGCCTCTGTACCTGTGTGGTCATGAGGAGATACAGTGGCTCATATTTCACTGACATCTCTCAGAAAGTGACTGCTGGCAGGTTTAGCAGCTGCCTGACAGACAGACTCACTCTGCTCTTCCTCTGCTGCATGAAAGCAGCCTCCTCATACAGGCCGCTCAGTCTGGGCATTTCCTTCTGGATCACAACAGACAGGTGTAATGGAAGCTGCACTGCCCAGTGAGCTGTAAATGGACACCTGCTGTGCAGGCACACGGGTGTAACCCAACCCCTCCCTGCAAGCTTTGCTGCGCACACCATTGACTGTGGTACAGGCCTGAGCTCCCTCCCACCTCCAGACTCTACTCAACCCTAAACACAAGCAGGCAACTTTCCCTGACCTTGACAGAGAAAGGCGAGGACGTGTGTCCAGTTGATCCAAAGTCGAGTGAATTTGAACTTTTCAGGCAGCAGGTGAAAACTCTCACTTTATAGTACATTTCCGCCAGCAGCCAATGTTTTGACTGCGTCTGATAAATCTGGTTATTCGAATTATCAGCTATAAAAGATTTGTTTTTCTCATACAGCTGTTTTTGTCTTGTAAAAAAAACTCAACAGCTATAACTCCTTGTGTGGGCACCCATAAATGTTAATGATTTATGAAAGAGTAATAAGCCATTCATATTTCCATGTTAAAAAACCTGTTTCATTTATGTGTATCCTCCCCCAACCAGCTCTTAAATTCATCAAGGAGATTCAGCCAATGGTCAGTTAGACCACGTAAGGGACCCTTCAAGACAAACATATTATACACCAGCCAAATGGATTTTTTCAAACCTAGCAACCAAATAGTTGCACTTTATGTCTCATTATTTCTCATTAATAAATCATCTTTTAGCATCAATAGACCCTTGGTTTATAAACCTTCTCATTCATTAAAAGAGCTTCCCAGAAATGAAATGATGTGTTTATAGTTAGAGTCGTCAAGCTGGTGGCTTTTTGATATGCTTTTCTTATACTGTACATGTCATGTTTGTTTTCTCTCCAGTTTTCAGCAGTAACTTTCCTGCCAGAGCTGCCTACCAAGTCGCTGCTCTACCTAGAGTAAGTACAGACAAAACCTTTACACCATTTTAGAACCGCAGTTCCCCATGGTACATGGTTCATATACATCAATACATATGGGGTGGTGGAAAAGAGCATGGTAGCTAGGTGCATGCTCAGTCATGCATGTCATGCATTTCCTATCAACCATGTTGACTTTTAAATGCTCAGCTGCTTGGAGTTAAAAGTTGTACATGTCCTTTTCTTGATCAGTAGCTCTTTTACATTCCCCCTTGTCCTCAATGTTTCTCTGTCTGCTTCTTTTTCACCTCAGGGTGGACTGGTGGAGATTGAGGCGGTTGCTGTCCTCGGTCCTCTCTCAGACTCCTGACAAGCCGACCACATCACAAACAAGTTATAGCCTAACCACCAAACGGCCGTATAGTTGTGCTGTGGAAGCCTTATTATATTTCCAGATGACAAATGAAAGACCAAACTAGGATCTTGTTCAATTTCCTTTTCCGTACTGTCAGGTTTTAGCATGAAATAGTTTCTCTTCTGTTCACTGTGGCTGGTTGATGGCACTGCTGAACTATTTTCAGGATTGTACTACTGGAAAACCACCTTTAAACTAACAAAAGAGAAGCACTTAACTGACCAGCATTTAGTTTGTGACTAAAGGTAATTTCATACCTGACATACTCCATGAAGCAGATTGTGATCATAATACCATTTCCTCATTCCGACAGAAATCAGCCTTCTTTTGTGCCGTCTCTGGTTTCATAACTCATCTTCTGTTTTTCTCCTGAATAAAAAAAACTGACACACATTTGAAAAGAGAAGCTCTCACTAATAAATAAATGCAGTAAAACCCCTAAAATGTCTCATCCAACATATGTATTCATCCTTGCTTTAAGATATCAAAGAAACTCTATTAGATGTCATCTTTAAGGTGGCCCTTTTAATTTCTTGACAGTTAATAGCTTATTACAGATTTCAGGTTTTCCTTCCAGAGAGAAATCATGACACATCAGAAGCAAACAAAAAAAAACTCACTCTCATATTTACTCTTATCTCATTGGTTCTCATCAGGAACTCATTGATTTTTAAAATCAGACCTCAGTAAACCTGCAGTGGACCAGCTCTTCATTTTCATCACAAACATAGTTGTACAATCAAAGCCAGCTACCCAAACAGAATAACATCTCATAAATCAAATATATTTTGGCTTTGGTTTCCTTAGAATCATGATTTTGTAGAAAACTACAGAATGAACTCTTAGGTTAAAGTTAGATTAAAGACATCTACTATTATACATTTCTATGCACTGAATAAATAGAAGTGATTAGTAATTTAAGATATTTTGAAATGATTGCTTCCTCTGAAGATCAACACACCCACTAAGTGCTGTAGAACTCTGTCAATGTGCAGTTCTCAAGCAGAAAATGCAGCCACACACCATCATGAGGGGAAGAAGGCACAGTGATGACCGAGGAACCCTGATCGAAAGTGGATATCACAGGGTCTGCATCTTGGCAACAAGGTGATGTCTGTTTCACACACACACACGGACGTACTTTCACTCACGCATACAGACAAGCTCAGACGCTTCCAGTTAATCTGTGCAGTCATTCACGTTGCACTTCACTCGCTTGGAGCTGGAAACAAAGAGGGAAACATATTAGGACTGCACTGATGGTGTTATGTGGATGTGACAATGTGGAAACTACAGCTGTGCTCACCTGGTGTCTCCTCTGGTTTGGGCTCTGAATCATCTGCTTTTTCTGTTTTGAATGAAAGACAAAAAGATTTGAACAACAAACGTGGTCACGTTTAAAAGTTCGGTTCACTCGGGACGACCCTGGCGGCGTGGAGGTTAGATTAATCACATCACCTCCAGTTAGTTAGTTAGTAAACGTTAATTATTCAACCTGTTACACATTTTGGTTGTGAAATCCCAACAATGCTGAAAAAAAGTACAAAAACTTGCATCTCACATTCAATTGGATGTTTCACATTCAGTTTTCCCTCAAAGGCTTGTGATTGCAGATTAATCCCAAAAGGCCAGTCCCAACCCCTGACCACTGACAGGTACAGAAGTGTTTGAGCTGCCATGTCCGGTGTGTTAATGAGACACTTGATCCTCTCTCTTCATTGGCTGTGAAATGGAGGCAGGGAGGCTCAGCGCGCCTGACATCATTCATCGCCAGTGGCAGCCCTGTATGTGTTGGCATGCTCTAGTTTCTCTGTGGATTCCAGTTGCACCTTAATGAGACCACGGTGACAACAAAGTGTTCACAACAAACACACACACACACACACACACACACACACACACACACACACACACACACACACATACACACACAGGACTGTGGTCAAGCTTGAACTGAGGGTGAGTGAGGTTGGAGACCAAAGGGGGGTCAAGATCAAGTGAGGACAAAGATCAAGGAGAGTCCTGACTATTTTTTGAATGCATTGCATGGTTTAACCTTGCAAGTATCCATCCCTTAAAATCCGATCTGTTTTAACTCTTTTTAACTTACACAAATCAGGATCTGATCCTGGGCTGACTGGTAAGAAATCATAAATGACAGCTGCTTGGAGGCTTAAAACTTAATTTGTTACTGAATTGTTACTGTCTTCTTTTTTGGTCTGCAGCCCTTAATAAGAGTTCCTCAAAACATCACACTTTATATATCTTACATGTGTAAACAACCAGGAGGGAAAACGTTTCATGAAGCGGATCTTAGAGAATACTCAATCAACTAAACATCAAGGAAAATGTAATTCATAAACCAATGAAAACGGCTTGGATCGGTAAAGTGAGTACAAGTGTGATTTATTGAGACAGGTCCTCTAATACTAACTAAATAATCAGATGTGTGACTTATAAACACATTCCTGTGGCCACCCCGGTGTGTTCATTAAAAGCCAAAGTCATGTCTGTGTGTTGTTGGATACTGCCTGGTTACCACCGTTGCTGTTGGGACTGGGGAGGGTCTAGGGAAAGACGGAAGGGACATTATGTACCTGGATGCCGAGGCAGCCTGTGTTCATTGGGTCACTACGCAGGAGGCGGAGCAGTGCTCAGGTTATTGCAGGTCAGTGGAAGCAATTGTCCAATTTGTCTATAATAAGTTTCTCTTCCCTCAATGGGACACAAATATTGTGACTATTGTTTTCTCCCTTATGTGGTAACAGCTTTTAAGGGCCTGTTTCACAGATGAAGATTAAAATATCAAGAGAAAAATGCCCAAACCTCGAGAGGTTTGAATGAATCTACGCTGAAGCTTCCTCACACACTTCAAGAACGATGTCTCGTTAGAGAAAATAGTAGTAGCGGTGGTTAATGAGGCATAAGTATATAGTATATATACCAAAATGGACACACAGGTATGCAGCTCCATCCTTATCAACTTTACAACTTAGTGAGGTGTTCAGTCAGTCTGATACACGTCACAGTGTTAGGGAGATAAGTCATGCTGTAGAAGACAAATGTTTAATTTGCATTGAAAATTGTATAAAATGAATAGGTGCTTGGAATTTAGCTGATAGCTTGAAGCAATTCATTTTGCCACGACAAATGGGCTTGTTCATGTGAGGATGATGAGGAAAGTCTTTAAGTTAAGTATGATTTTCCATGGTTGACAGTCCACTAAAATATTTAGTAATCCCCCAAAATCTACATTGGTATAGTTCTTTATGGGATTAGAAGAAGTTTGGGATTGAAATTCCCATACAAGCCCTATATACCTTGAACACTTCTGGATCTGTTAATGGTCAGGGTTGAGGTTGGCCATGTGGGATGAAGAGAGAAGACACTGCTTTTTCTTTTTTACTCCAACCTACCCTGGTCTGCAGCTGCAGCTTCCGAGGAGCTTGCTGCTGCCTCAGTGGTGCTGTCTGCTGCCGCTGCCTCTCCGTCTGCAGGCGGACTGGCTTCTGCAGGCTGAGGCTCCTCCCCTGCTGGTGGAGCTGCAGCGGTGCTGTCTGCAGATGTGGCAGCTGCAGCAGGTTCATCTGCAGGTTTAACATCGCCATCAGCGGGTGTTTGGTCCGGAAGAGTTTCGCTGTCCTCAGCTACTTTGCCAGTTTCGTTGGCCGCCCCTGTCAGGGACACAGGGTTAAGCACGTGCATTTGTTAGCTCATGTTAAAAATGCCCCCAAAAATACCTTAAAGAAATCTCCCATTTAATGTCATGCCGACTCTTGACACTGGCAGTACTGATGTGATGTCTGAAGGCTGACACAAACAAAACACACAAACACTGACCCTGTCAGGTAAGAAAACAGGAACTAGACTTTCGTCATTTAAATGTGAGACAGTTTAGGATATCAGTACTGTGCTCTTAGGTTCCACTAGTTTTAGTTTCCTTTACGTTTGTGTTGCTTATGTGAGCTATTGAGTTAATCCAAAACCAGAGGGACCAGTCTGCATAACTAATATTGTTATGGGCCCCAAGCAACAGTGAAAACATTTTCTGTAATCTCATGAACTTTCTGAAGTTCTGCAGGCTTTGTCTGCAGCATGTTAGACTGTATGACACAGATGTTTTCATCTTGTGATGAATTGCATTGTGCTTCATAATTAAAGATTGGGAGTACTGTGAAAATAAGAATCTGACTCCTGTTAACTCCAGTCTCTGACCATGGGACTTTGCAAAGCCACCAGTTTCACCCAAATAGACAAGAGCAATAACAATGCGATCAATTCCTTGAAAACAGAACTATACCTGATCAACTGTTCCTCCTTCAAATAACTTAGTAAAGAATAAAACGAATGCTGCTGCTACTTGCAACAGATCAGAAAGTTTTAAAAAATGGCATAAAGAGACCTCCACCTACACATAACAGGAGCCACAAAGAGTTAATGATTATGCAGATTGTTGTTAATGAACAGGAACAGCATAGCTCTATGAACAGGTTGCTGTGTGTTTTGTGATGTTACATATCACTTCCTTGTAGAACTTTTTCTTCTGGGGGATTTGCATTGCAAATATTTGCATGGATCATCAAAGTCTTGACCATCAAACTTCTGTTTTCAAAGTTGCTTGAAGCAATTAAACAAAGTGCTCCTCGAAACAGAGGTGATATCATTAAGAGCCTGGGACATGATATTTGTTAACACTGTTCCCATCCTGTCAATATTCAACATCATTATGATAAATACTTTCTCTGTTGTAATTGTGAAGAATAAGAAGTAAGTCAGTATGTCAGATGGAGGGTGCTGCTGGGTAAAGACTGGCACTATCGGAGTGTTAAACTGACATGTCTTTAAATGGATAAACCTTGGGGTAATAAACGTAACCCTTTTTGGGAACGACAAGTAGCATCAAGGAAAGGAAATGAGCCACATGCAAAAATAAGAAAACATCTTGACAAATTTCCATTTGACCTCTGAGACGATGTTCACTGTCATTTGGCTGATAAAGCTTTGCCATCCTCATCATCCAACAACAATGACATGATTATTTATTAAGAGTTGTAGTGGAAGCTCTCCTTTCATTTGTCACCTTTTGGGGGGGGTCAGAGGTCAGGATCAGCTGCATGATACAGGTTTAAACACATTTAATCAGCCTCAGTGGCAGTTTCTCAGCTCAATACCTCAATGCAAGTAGATGCATTCAAGCTCGGTAACTTATGTGAGCGTGCGTGTATGTGCTTCCATGTGTTTTATGGCAATAATAGGCCTGTATATCTCTTTAAGAAGTGCAAAAAGAGAGTGAGAACAAGTGACACTTGCTCAGAGGTGGTCCCACTCAGTGAATCTTTTACTAGTTTTCACCTACTTATTCTTTGAAGTGTCAAGTAATGCTTGTGCTGGCAGAACTGCAAAAAAAGTCACATTTACTACAGTCA